TGACGGCATCAATGTGTGTGTGGGTAATGAGTAATTGAACTGCAGTCAGAGAGAGACGTATTGTTGAAGTTAACGTCGTTGATATAGTTTGTTATAGCGCGACTGTTGAAAATAAGTGTATCGTAAAGTTGTATTCGGAAAGAATAAACCAGTTTTATTAAGTAAGGACTTGTGTCGCTAAAGTTTCGTCGGAACGAAGTTACGGAAAATCAATTAACAAACGGAGACGTAACAATATACTGAATGAATAAAGAAAGACTTATGTTTCTCAATTTATAGAGTAGACGAGTGCCCCCTTGCCCTGAGAACGCCCATGTAATAAGTAGCCTGTTGCAAACGTTAAGGAAGAAATGAACTGATTTGTTTATCGTTACGTTTACTGGACTACATACTATAATCACCAAATAATATGAAAAAAAACAAAAAACATCCAACGATAGAATACATTACAACGTCAATGCTCGTAGATCTCCCAAGTTAATTTACGGACTTACAATGCTCAAATCCGGGGTTCGATTTCCCGTTGTGAGAATGCAAGTGTTCTGTTGTGTAGCTTTGCGTTTAAAAAATGCTCATAGCAAACATAATTTTGCGCAAAAATGTTGCTAAGTATATAATTAATCCAACTATTTTAGCTTAAGTGAAACGCAATTTCAAATCTTTCATCTCCTTATAACCTGTCTACAGACTCTGCACATATACACAAATCGACTAATTTTTTACTGAAATTCGTGAACAACAGTCTAAACCTTGCACCTTTTCTCGATCCCGACCAAGAACGTGAATAATGCCCATGTCTTATAACAGAAAATCCTTACATTACTGATATTTTACTTCAGAACTCCATGCGCAGAACTGAAGAAATGGTTAGTTATTATAAACATTCGATATTTTATGATTATTCATAATTATGTTTCGTATCAATTAAAATAACATACCACGTTATTTTATACGATGTTAAGTCAAAACACAATTTGAGCCATTCAATATTAAGCACGTCAAAAAATTCACTCGTATATTCATATACATTCCACGTGGCGCAATTAATTATACGATTCATTCAAGCACGCGCTGTAGCATGACAGTTGTGTATTGCATGAGTAACAGACAGAAAGCTGGGAGGTGAAATTACATTTCACGTTGGTCGTAGGCTGCTCCTACAGTGGTAGTATTTAGGTAATTATGATTTAAATTTATATTATTTAATCGGTGACGTACTTTCAGTATATTTTATTTTGTAAACAAAACTCGTAGGTAGTGAGATTTAACCCTAAACTAAAGCAATTGATAAAAACTAACTTAGTTATACATTTTGTAAAATGTGTTACTGTTACTACTAGTACCAGTGGTAGGGTTAGATTGCACACTACATGAACTTGACGCCGTGTGTTTGATGACTCATTACTTAAGACACATGTTTTACATGGTTAAACCCATCGTGTTTTGGACTAAGAGGGCAATGAACAGGACTGAATTAGACAAAAAGTCTACATATATCTAATAATAATTCAAAGATCTAGTTATGAGTTAGACTGAATTGTATATCAAATAGTATGTATTTCTGCGATATTTTTGTTAGTGCGAACAATTCTATTTTGCAATTGTGGAAAGAAAGAGACTAATGTTTTGTTTCTACTATCAAGTACTTAAAGAATGTCATTAAAATTATGAATAATATTTAGTTAACATAAATGTATAAGTAATTTGTTATGTCACAGTAACTCACATGAATGTATTTTTTATTACATGTTTGCCATTAGTAATGGATGCTGTAAACAAGTGCTTATATTTTTTATACACTTGGATGTTAGAAAGATTTTATTTTGAATTTATTTGGATGAGAGGTGTTTGAGATTGTCAAATAACTCGTCACTTTTAAATAATCTCATTGGTCTTTTTATTTTAAATATATTTTAACATTAAAAGAATCAAAATCTTGGTTGACTGACTGAAATATGGATGATATACTTTTTTATTGTTTTTAGTTTTGAACTAAAGAATTATAATTAAATTCCTAATATGTGGCTTGTTTTTATTGCTTGGGGAGATTTTCAAAATTTAGGTTATTAGTAAATATTTAAGTAAAACTGCTGACAAACCTGGCAACTTTTATTATAATTGAAAATTAAATGTAATAAGTAGTGTGAAATTGTGAAGTGAATAAAAAAAACTTGTAAATTCATATACATATGCTGAATGAATAAAGAAAGAATTATGTTCCTCATTTTATAGGGTAGGTGAGTGCCCCCCCCCCCCCCCCCTTATTTTCGTTTACGTTACCTAACTACTACGCCTAGTGGGTCGCACTAT